CGCGGGGCCGCCGGAGGGGCGCGGCGTGTGCATCCGGGAGTTCCGCGCGGCGGAGCAGGAGGCGGCGCGCCGCATCTTCTACGACGGCATCATGGAACGCATCCCCAACACGGCCTTCCGCGGCCTGCGGCAACACCCGCGCACGCAGCTGCTCTACGCCCTGCTGGCGGGTCAGTGCGGCGGCGCCGGGCGCGCGGGCTGGCGCTCAGGGCACGCTCCTCGGGCCTCCGGTCCTGCGGCAGTCCGCGCCCGCGGGGCCCTCCGGGGGCGGACGCGCAGGACACCCCATCTCCCCGTTCCTAACCTCCTGCCCCTAGCCTGGGCCGCGCTGCTGTCCCTGGAAGGGAAGCGGAGCCGCGGCGAACCCGCGGAGCGCACAGGACCCGCGCGGACACGCTCCCGCGGCCCCGGCTGGCTGCTGGCCCCGGGGCTGGCCTGGTCCGCTCCCTGCCCGAGGCTGCAGGGCGCCGGTGCAGGGGCGTGGAATGCCGCGGGGCGCGCGGTAGGGGGCTCTCCTGCATCGCGGGCCGGGTCCCCTCCCCGGCGCGCCGGGTGGGGGCGGGGTGACGGGGCAGGTAGCGCTGCGCTTGGTGCGTGTGACTATATATAATCCGCAGGGCGGGGGAGGCTGCCTCGGCGGCTCCAAGTGCTAATTTATGAGGGGATGAAAGCTAGCTCCCCGGGGTGCGAAGGGCGGGTGTGCAGGGGAGGGCGAAGGTGGGCAGTTGGTCCTCAGGGAGCGCCAGCTCCCGCGGGCTCCGGGAGCCCATTCCCCTCCTGGAATCCGTGCCAGGGTGGTTCTCCCCATTTTACAGATGGGGAGCTTGAGTCTGGGGGCATGTGGCTGTCCCAAGGTCACTCAGCACAGGTGACTCACCCCAGGCGCGCCTGCCTCATCTGCAGGCTATATGCGGCTGGAACCGTCTCCGTACTCCCTGAAAGCCACCCTGTGCTCACAGCTGCCCGGGGGATGGCACCAGACACAGGCCCCAGCTGGGACCTTGGGAAGGAAGCGGTCCTGGAGCATGTCCCGCAGGGTCCTGGGGGTGACCCTGGCGGCCGCCTCCACGGCTCCTTGTCTTTGTACCAGGATAGAGTGGGTGGGCAGAGACACCTTCTCAGGCCCCTAGGGGCCCTGCCTGGGCCACCCCAGGTGCTCTGGCAGCTGTTGAGGGCGGCCTGCCTAGAAGTGACATTTAGGGCCCCTAGGGCATGTTTAGGAGCTCTGGTGGCCCAATGTTAAAGGCATTTGACTGCCAACCAGAAGGCTGGAGGTTCAAAACCACCAGCCACTCCGCGGAGGGAAGATTGGGCAATCTACTTCCGTAGAGATACCGCCCCAGAAATCCAAGGAGGGGTCGCTGTGAGTTGGATCCAGCTTGACAGCAGGGAGTTTTATGAGTTGAGGGCATGTTTGTTTGGGGTCAGGAAGGTGCATGTGGCCCGTGGCAGGAAGTTGGGCAGGTATAGCCAAAGAGAGGAAGCCCGTGTGCCCCCCCATCTGCCAGGGAAGGCCCGCTCACGCCCGCCCCTCTGCCCACAGCACTCTGCTTTGCTGTGACGCGGTCACTGTTGCTGACCTGCCTGGTGCCCGCCGGGCTGCTGGGCCTCCGCTACTATTACAGCCGCAAGGTGATCCTTGCTTACCTCGAGTGCGCGCTGCACACGGACATGGCCGACATAGAGCAGTACTACATGAAGCCACCCGGTGAGTCGCCCCATCCTATCTCCAGCCTCCTCCTCAGGGCCCAGAGGGTAGGCTCAGGGCTGGGGCGGGAGTCAGGTGAGGCAGCAGACATGGCTGGGGAGGGCGTGAGGACACGAGCTTGCTTCATGACTTTGGGTTTTGGCCGGGGTGGGGGGCTGGCAGGCTGAGACACCCCTGCGCCTGGGTCTCTGTTGTCCCATCGGGGGAGGCCTGTGCCACCCTGAGCTGCTTTCCGTTTCCCTGGCTCTTGCTGAGGGGTGGGTGGGGGTCTGACTGCTGGGCTGGGGGCAGTAGGGGTGGCATTTCGCCTGGGTCCTGGGGTGGCCCGGGTGGAGGAGGGCAGAGGACCCTGGGGTTGGGGGAAGATGACTCTGGGGTCAGGGGCTTGTGCCTTGACATCTGCTGTGGCCTGGACTCCGGGCTACCTCCTGAGCCACCTATGCATGGCTTTCTATAGAGCAGAGCCTGGGACCTGGGTGTTCCTGACGCAGGCAGGGTCCTGGCAGTTGGGGCTTCACTGATGGAGAGCTGAGACGGGGGCTCAGTCTGTATGTCTGAGCGCGAGGGTCTCTCGGGTGCCGCAGGGTCCCCAGGCTGAGAAGGGGGTAGAATAGATCAGAAGCACTGGGTGGGGTCCCCAGGACCCTCAGACCCAGGCCTGCCCTCTCTGGTGCATGTCAAGGAGCAGCAGGGGCGGGGGGCTGCCCGGCATGGCTACTCTGTGCCCACCAGCCTTGGCCGAGCCAGCCCATGCAGTGGGAACAGCCCGTCCCCGTCCCTGCTGCCACTGGCCTTGGATGCCTTTCTCCTTGACCCTCCCCCAAACCCAAACAAGTCTTCCTATCGCCTCGCCCAGAGCCCGGGGGGAGATGGTGACAGAGCTCTGAGGCCCACGACCATGGCCGCAGGAGCAGAGGGCACCCGTAGGGGTGCTGGGCTGGCGGGGGGGTCCTGCTCTTGGGTCTGTGGACTGGTGTCTCCTTGGATGGGTGGGGGGTGTCCTGGTGGGGGCCTTGCTGGTCCCTCTTAGGCCGTCTGGTGTGTCTGCGGAAGGTCTTACGGAGCCCCAGCAGGCCGCATAGCAGTGAAAGGGCCCTGCTGGCTTCCCGGGGGCTGTGCGTGCAAACAGGGAAACTGAGACGCACAGAAGGGCAGGGTGCGTTCACGGCCACACAGTGGTGAGGAGTTGGGGCTCCCAGGACTGTCTGGAGCTCAGTCTGGCCTGGGTGGGCGGGGGAAGGATGGATCCTAGGTGCGGTGGACCTGCTGGCAGTCCAGGGGCCCAGCCCCAGAGGTGGAGACACCGCGTGAGTGGAGTGGCGAACAGTGGCAAGCCTTGGGGGCTCGAGGGTGGGGAACCCCTGTGGCCCTCGAGTCCCCCAGAGCTGCGGAAGGACACACTGTGGGGGACCCGTGGGGATGGTCGTGGCCGATGGCTTGGGCTCTGGCTGCTTCCTCCTTCCTCCTGGTGGGGGTGGGGGCAGGGTGCCTTCTCTGTGTCTGGGGACCAGGCCTTGGGGTGCAGGAGGATCCACCTCCCAAAATGATGGGCAGGTCATCAGACAAGTTGAGGGGCTCCAGAAAGACAGTGGCTGGGGTTGGTGAAGGAGCTGTGGTCGATTGAGGGGTGTCTTCTGCAGGGGGCTCCCCAGCGACAGTGGCCTGAGTGGATGGGACACGGGCCAGGGGGATGTGCATGTCCTCACTGCCCCTAGGCCTTTGGTCTGTGCCCTGCAGGTGTCTTCCCTCGCTGGCACCTCCACCCCCCCCCAGCCCGGGTCATCTTTGTCCCCTCTCCCCTGTTTCCCTCGGCTCTGCCGAGGCCTCTCTCCAACCCCACCCCTGCCCTGCAGCAGGGCTGATTGGGCCGAGCTGTGGGTGAGGAGGCTGGCCTGACCACCGGGCTCACTGCCCAGAAGAAGCTGGGGTCAGTGGGGGCGGGGTGAGGACTCCTCGTTGGGCCTGTGGTCCTAGTGGGAGGGGGTGAGGTTGAGGAGCTGGCCTGGGGCCGCCTGTTCTAGGGGCTCCATTTGGGTTTCTGAAACCTAAATGGTCCCTTAGAGCTTGCCCTGAACCCTGCCTGGGTCCTGTTGGATGCTGGTTCCGGCCCCGGGCTGCCCTCTCTTGCCTGGGGCTCTTCCTGCCCTGACATGGGCAGGTCATGGGGTGCCCAGCCAGGTACCCTGAGTCAGGAGTGTGAAGGATACAGTTGACAGGTGGAGGCCTCAGCTGCCTGGCCCCGCTGCCCCTGCCTGTCCTCCCAGCCCCGCTCAGCCCCTACCCCAAAGCCCCAGAGGTCCTGCCAGATGCTTTCTCTGGACTCTGCCTCTCTGCAGCCCTCCCGTGTGGACATGAGAAAACAAGAGCGTGTGGGTCTCTAGGTGGCTGTCCATGGTCACCTGTGGCATTCTAGGCATTTTGTCTGGGGCTAGCTTGGTGGGGAGAGGGGCCCCAGCTGGCTGAGTCCTGCCTAGCTCTTGGTCCTGGGGTGTGGGGCTCTGGCTTCCAGCCACCGTCCTGGCCAGGACAGCCTGGCCGTAGGGGCCGAGTGGGGCCCAGCTGGGCCACTGTACTGTCTCAGTAGGGCCTGGGCCCCATGGGAGGAGGACCTCAGAGCATGCACCCACCCTTGCACAGTGGTTTCTGCCTGGCTTCGCTGATGAAGAGACTGAGGTCCAGAGTGGCTCGGGCACATTAGCTCCGGAGCTGAGGGAAATTCCTGTGCCTGCCACTTCTTGGCTCGGCCATGGCAGGAAGGGCTGAGTATTCTTGGCCGGGCGGAGTGGGACCATTTCCCGGGAGGCAGAGCCTGAGGCCCGGAGCCGGGCAGCACCAGGGGACAGGGAGGGGTTGGGAGCCGAGCGGTCTCTCCTTGGCCTCTGTCCCACACCCGTCCCCACTGTGGGCCCAGCCATCAGCCCCAGGGTCCAGGGTCCCCTCCTGGGCTGCAGGGGGCAGTGGGCAGGACTGGCCAGGGGGCTGGCTAGGGCTGTGTGCTCATAGGGCCCTGGGGTCCAGCTGTGTCTGCTCACCCTGAATTGGGGCCCCTCATCCAGCACAGCTGGGGCAGGTCACGGGGTGGGCGGGCAGGGGGCGCTGGAGGTGGGGGGATGAGGCTGTTATGCAGAGGGTGTCTCTGACCACCCTGTTCCTTGCAGGCTCCTGCTTCTGGGTGGCTGTGCTGGACGGCAACGTGGTGGGCATCGTGGCAGCACGGGGCCACGAGGAGGACAACACCGTGGAGCTGCTGCGTATGTCCGTGGACTCGCGCTTCCGTGGCAAGGGCATCGCAAAGGCACTGGGCCGCAAGGTGCTGGAGTTTGCGCTGGTACACAACTACTCGGCAGTGGTGCTGGGTACGACGGCCGTCAAGGTGGCCGCCCACAAGCTCTACGAGTCTCTGGGCTTCAGACACATGGGCGCGAGTGACCGCTATGTGCTGCCCGGCATGACCCACTCGCTGGCCGAGCGGCTCTTCTTCCAGGTTCGCTACCACCGCTACCGCCTGCAGCTGCGTGAGGAGTGACCGCCCGCTGCCCACCTGCCCGCCTGCCTGCCGCTCCCGGCCGCCCACCCGCCCTCCCCACGTCCGCCTGCCTGCCACCTGCCACCTGCCACCGGTGTGGCCCTGCTTCCAGACGCTCACCCTGGCGTTTTAGGTTGGGTTTTTCCTTTCTCAGCATCACACGGTTCTCCGGCCAGCTCTTAGGGTTCAGAGCTGTTGTTCTTTTGTGGAGTGGGGGGGTGGGTTGGTCAGCTGCTGTGGCCCCCACTTTACTAGCCTGCTGGGCTGTCCCCCCCAGGGCCCAGAGACGGATAGTGTGGACCACCGAGGGGCCTGCCCGGCCTGCTCAGCCGGGGGCCTTTTTGGCTGAGCACGGGCACCGCTCTCTGGCTGCCGCCATCCCGGGCAGGCTCAGCTGCCCAGGCTTTACCCACTAAGCACAGAATGTCTGCCCCCATGTCACCAGCCAGGCAGACCCCTTGCCTCTAGCCCAAGCAGCTGGGCTCAGCCACCGTTCCTGGAGGCTGCCAGGGCCGTGGGGCCGAGCTGGCCGTGGCCTGCTTCACTCCATGCATGGTGAGGATGTGGCCTGGCCACGGCACGCCCGCATGCCTACAGCCCCCGTCTGCTGCCCTGCCCAGACCGGACCCCGAGACCTGGCTGGGGAGTGCCTGGCTGAGTGACCAAGCGCAGGAGGGCGGGCCCTGCCCCCCTCACAGCCCCCCCACCTGGCCCCTTTGCTTTGACATCTAGTCATCTCCTTTCTCTTTGCTCCCGCCCCCACCCCTGCCAGGGCCTCGGCTGATTGGCATCACCATAGAGGTGTGGTTCCCATAGCAACCGTGCACAGCCCCAGCCCCTCAGGAGAGCCAGCCTGGGCGGGGGCCAGGGGACCCCTCCTCCCACTGCTAGAGCTCTTGCGTGGCCCCCCCCAGCCCTCCCCTGAAGCTGCTCCGCGTCCCGGCTGACTGACGGGCGGGTCTGTGAATCTTACTATCCCCGGCCGCCGCCGCCCACCGAGCCCACAGCTTCTCCCAGCCTGAACCCGACCCAGTTTTTTAATAAGTTACTTAGAGCGAATAGCAACTCTGCATGTCTTTTCTTGGGACAAAACGGTAGCTTGTATCTTAAGACACACACACACCTCCAGGTGGTGGCAGGAACACACACTATTTCCAGCCCAGTTCTGGTTCGGGGTGGGGCTGGAGGGTTCCAGAGCCTGAAATTCAGGGGAAGACCTTGAGTTAGCATCATTTTCCCCAAAAGAGCATCTGATGTGGGAGGGGTCAAGGGCGTCCCTCTCCAGCACGGGCGGAGGGGCCTGGGGGCAGCATGGAAGCCCCTGCCTTTGGGGGACAAGCGGGTCTTTGGTCCTCTGAGGTCCGGCTGTGGCCTGGCCTGAGGGTGGGCTGGGAGGGGTATGGAGGGCAGCAGTTAGTGGTGCCACCGCGTCCAGCTGTGTGCCTGGGCCCGCCACCCTGTGACAGAGGGACATGAGTGCCACCGAGGCCCCCTTTGTGTGGGGGCTTGGGGAGGGGCTGTGGGGACAGCAGGCCCTGGAGCTGAGTGCCAGCCCCTGGGGCCTTCGTGCGGGCGCTTTGTACAGAGGCACTTAGGAAGTGGACGACTTAGCGGAGCGAGCCTGGCTCGCCAAGGGGCCTTTGTTAGCGCGGTAAGCGAGACGTTTGCAGAATCCTATACAGACCCTGCCCCCTGTACATTTCCCCGGTGGTGCCCGGTCCCCGCATGGGGTGAGGGTTTTGTAGACTGTACAGAAATCGGCACCCTATTTTCTTGCAGCTCTCAGATTTTGTTAGTCTGGATCACACGGACAGACGTAAAGTGTTTTAGCAAAACGGAAAACAAAACAGTTTGTGCCTTTTTCCTCTTTTTGTTTGGTTTAATTTTGACTCGGGGCTGGTCTTAGTTGGCATTGGCGTGTCGGGGGCCGGCTGGTCAGAAGGCCCGGCTGGGGCGGGGACGACAAGGCAGGAACTGAGGGGGTCAGCGTCGTCGGTGGGGAGCTTGGGCGTGTCCCCAGCTTTCTTTGATCCTGTGCCTTTGGAGCCTCTGGGGTCTGGGGTGAGGCATGTGGGTGGGGCTCCCTGAGTCCACTGAGGCTGGGACTGCAACCTGAGGGCCCCAGTGCTGACGGCAGTGTGCCCGTGCTGTGCTGGGGCCTCCCTGAGACGGAGCCTGCTGGCAGGGTAGCCTGTCTTGGGGCATGCGTTCGTCTGCCCACCAGCCGTGGGTCTGCGGGTCAGATGGGCTTGCCGCGTGGTCAGCAGGTGGCGGGGCAGCTGCTGGGACTCAGCCTTGCTGCCCTTTTGTTGCTGCCTGGGACATGGTGGGGGCCACGTGCTCAGAGCCGCAGGCCGGCTATGGTTTTGCGCTGGTCCCCTGCTGCCCAGCTGCTGAGGGGGGCAGAGGGGCCTAGCAGGCTGGGTTCTCACTGTGCCCTGGGCTGCAGTCCTCGCCGAGCCAGTGTGTGGTTCCAGGGCCCCTGGAACCATGGGACTTCCCATCCACCACTTGTCTCCTGCCTGACAGCAAGCAGCGCTGTCAGCTCGCACGGAGCTAGGACTTTTATTACCGTTTGTAGAAACGACGTTACCCGCACTACCTCTGATGCGTCCTCCTCGGTGCCTGCACACTGAGGCGTCTGTTGGACCTTCTTTCCCCCGAGTGTACTGGCTCTGGGCCTCTCTCTCCCACTCTGTGACTTCCCGGACACTCCCTGGGTGGCCAACACCCAGCCTCAGTGCTTGTTGAGGCCGCAGTCCTGGGCTCTGGGCCCCCGAGCAGCTGTGTTTGGAGGGCGGGGGAAGCTGTTAGATGAACCTGGCAGAGACAGGTCTGAGCTGCAGTTCCAGGTAGTGGGACTGTGGCATCGCTCCTGTGGCCGGGGTGGCTGTGGGGTCCCAGCCCCTCTGGACAGCTGACCATCACCCAGTGCCACCAGGTTTCTCTTATGGCTGGAGGCCATCCCGCTGCCCATGTGGGGTTCTGGACAGCTGACCCCAGTGGATGGTCAGGGTGTGATTGAGGCCAGTGCAGGGCTGGGTTCTCAAATGTGGTGGGGTCCATTGGTCACTGGCTGGCATGGTGGCGTCTTCTACCATCCTTCCACCCCTACCTAGGCCCAGCCTTGCGCCCCATTGGCACCTACTCTAGGGCTGGGGAGCTACTGAGATACTGCCCATCCTGGGTGGAGGGGCAAAGGGGTGGAAGCTGTCTAGCTTGGGCACCTGGAGCCTCCTCCCGTGTGGTGGGGGCTCGGGCTGAGGGGTGGGCAGCCCAATACAGGATGGGTCTGACTGGAGGCCCTGTGGACTGCTGGCCTGGGCCCACGAGGCCTTGGGGTGGAGGCCTGGGTACAGGTTTCAGCAAGCCCGTCCCCTCTGGGGGTCTTACCCATGGTGACAGGTCACTCCAGGCTCTTGGAGGAGGTGGGGTGGGGGCAGCTTTCCTGAGCTCCTTGCAAGTGCTTGGGAAGCTTTCTGGGTCTGACAGGCCCTGGCGCTGGGAGCCGTGGTGCCCCTGCACACCCTTGTCCTCACCGGGTGGCCTGTTCGTCCCTGTGAGCCCTGCCCACCCCTTTCCTCACCAGGTGGCCTCCATCTGTCCCTGTGGCTGCTGCCGGCCCCTCCATCCTCACTGGGTGGCCGTCTGTCCCTGTGGCCCCGATGACCCCTGTGCACCCAGGGGGGCCCTGTGACCCCTGCCCTGAGTGGCCTGGGCGCCTTCCAGAGCTGCCTTTCAGAATTGTGCTGGGGGCCAGGGGCCAGGGGCCAGGGGCCAGGGGCCAGGGCTGCGTGGGGATCAGTGGTGGTTTCTTGGCTGGGTGGAGCTGTGCTGGGGCCATGGGGCCTGCCAGTTGGGGGGCAGCCACCTGGCAGTGCTTTTCCGCACTCCGTGGGGCCCTTCCTCCAGCTGGGGTGCACCTGGTCGCGGCGACTATGGGCTCATTGGGGCCTGGTGGGAAGCGGCTTCCATGAATTCGGTGTTTCTGAGCTGGTTGCTCCATGGCTGGGACTGCAGGGATATACGTGCTGGGTGGCCGTGTGGCAGAAGCCGGGCGCCAGGGGCCTGCTTCCAGCAGGGGTGGGGCTGTCCATGGGCGGGATGGTGCCGTGGCTGCCCGGGGTCTGGTCCAGGAGCATGAACCCTCACGTGGGGTACTGGTGGATGTATTATTATTATTTTTTATCAGCAATAATTAGCCATTTTAAAGTGTGCGTGTGTGTGTGTATCTGTATGTGTGGGTACATGTGTACGTGTGTGCATGAGTGTGTGGCAACAGGGAGGGCCCCTTGGTAGTGAGGCTCCCTGGTCTAGCCGAGAAAGGACAGCTGGGGGCACGTGGCAGAGAAGGCTGGCTGGCTCGGAGGCCTGTGTCCCAGCGTCCCCCCCATGCCGCCCCAGGGCCTGCTGGGCCCCTTCTCATGTTCCTTCCTGCCTTGTCCAGCCTGCAGGGTTCCAGCCTGGGACCCCGAAAGCAGTGTCCCCTTGCTCCCTGATGGCAGGGTGCTGGCCGCACACAGCGGATGCCCCGGGCCACCAGGCCTCAGTGAAGCGGGCAGGTCATGCTGCGGGGGTGGGGACATGGGGCAGGGGTCTGGGGATGAGGGCCCCTGAAGCCTCCCTGGCTGGCATGGACCACGGGATCTTGGGAGCGTGGGGATGGAAGGGTTGGTGGGGACTCCTTGGAGATGTGCTGCCAGGGCCACTCAACTGGGACAGGTGGCAGAGCAGTCGTGGTCAGTTATGGTGATTTGATGAGGCAGACAGGTGGGGTCAGCAGGCCCCTGTGGATGCCATTGCTGGGGAAGCAGAGCCAGGGCTCAAGGTGTGAGGCCGGCTCCACGTCTCGGTTCGCTCCTCGAAGTGCACTATGAGACCACGGCTGTAGCGACTGTCCTGAGACCCCAGGATGTGCCAAAAAGCCCCCAGGGGCCTGGTGTAGGAGATGGGGTGGGGCGGCTGCCTGCCGCATCTGGGGCTGGAGTGCTGGGGCCTGGGGCCTGGCCGTGGCCCCAGGTGTGACCCCTCTGCCTACATTGGCCTCATGCTGCTGTTTGTCAATAAAACCAGAGTTGAAGGATCCAGGCCCAAGTGCTTCTTGAGGGCCCCTGGTATCTGGGACTCCACCACCCAGGCTGGCTGCCCCTGCCCCTCTCTGCGGTGCTGGGGTGGAGGGGTCTGTGTGGGGAGAGTGCCCAGGCAGTGGGCGTGGAGGAGCCCTCAGAGGACAGGCGGGGGAAGGCTCTGCCCGACGCCTTCTGTCCCCCTTTGGCTTTGCCCCCGCCAGCCCGCCAGCCCCTGCCTGGACCCCCCCGCCTCTGGGCGGCGCCCTGGACCTGGGCCTGCTGCTCTGTCCTCCTGGCTCAGGTGTCCTGGTGCCCTGGCTGTTCTTGTCCTGTGGCTCACTGTGCCCCACTGCAGGCCTGTCGGCTCCCCCACCTGCCGGGATGATGCGTCCAGCCTGTGGCCAGTGGTCCTTGTTTTCCCTGAAGCCCCACGGAGCCCCTGGCCCCTGTCACATGGCTGGGGCATCCTGTGCGTTGCAGGAGGGAGCAGGGAGGTGGGTGTCCGAGGCTGTGTGGGGAGGGGATTTGGGGGTAGGGACCACGTTTCTTCTCTCAGCTCCAGGTGTCAGCAGCCTCCGGCCTGATTCCTCCCGGGTCCTAGACCATCTCTTGAACAACTGTGGCCTCAGAACACAAAGCAGCCTCTCGCTGGCCTGTGGCCACTGCGTGTTGGCCTGGCCCCTGGGATTGCTTCCCGGCCGGCAGGCTCCCGAGGTCACAAACGCTGAGCTGCTGGGCTGGGTGTTAGCTGAGCCTCCTGAAGAGAGGCTGGATCTGGAGGCCACAGCACAGGGGGCTGTCGGGGCAGACTCCCCTGGCTCCCGCTGGGTGAGGCCAGCTGCGCACGGGCGCAAGCAGATCACAGTGGGGCCCGGAGGCAGCTCACGTGGAGACGGCCGGGAGCCTGCTGCGGGGGCTGCATCCAGGGGACCTTGTGGTCCCCCTGAGTCCCTATCAGCAAGGCTAGCATGGTGACACTTGCTTGTGATGGGTCTGAGGAGCAGGAGTCTGTCCACACTGACGCTTGCTGTCCTCACAAGCTTGGGTGGGGCCACCCTCCAGCCCTGTCTGCCCTGCACTCTGTATCCCTGTGTCATCAACCCTCCCTGACAACCTGGGACTCATTGTCCCCTCCCCCCTGTGAGCAGGACACCCACCTGCCTGTGGCAACCCGCCTCAGCTGCCTGCCCCCAGACACCTCAGACCCTCCCTCCGTCCCTCAGGGCTGCTGCTTGGTAAGTGCCTCTGCTCGGTGGCCCTGGGTGCCTGCTCAGGTGCACACAGACACTCCCATACCCTCATACATGTACACACAGGCCCACATACAAGTGTGCACACACATTCACACATACAAAAACATTCAACATATGTCCACGTGCACACCCACAGTGCACAATGCATACACATGGACATACTCATACACATGCATGAACACATTCATAAAACAAAAAAACCAAACTTCTGCCCTCACATTGATTCTGACGCATAGCAACATCTCCTTGGATTTCTGAGGCAGTATCACTATGGAAGTAGATTGCCCAGTCTTCTTCAAGGAGTGGCTGGTGGGTTTGAACTGCTAGCCTTCTGGTTAGCAGTCAAATGCCTTAGGCACTGTGCCTCCAGAGTGCCCACCCCTGAACACATGAATACCCACACTCATGTACAAACACACATGCACACCCACAATGCATATATATGTGTGCACAGAGCGACACACAGGTACACATCCATACACATGCAGATGCACACACTTCACATGTGCACATACAGTACACGTACATGCACAGTACACACAATGCATATACGCACAGCACATGTACATGCGCATAGTGCACACAATGCGCACACTCATGCACACACTACACAAATGCACACACTACACACATACATACAGCAATGCACACAGTATGCGCACATGCACACAGCACACATACACATGCATAGTACACAGTGCATATGCACACAGTACACACATACTTGTGCATATAGTACACACATGTACATGCACAGCACACATATCCACATGCACACACCACACACATAACTACACACACATGCACCCATTACACATGCATACAGGATACACATACACAAAATACACATGCACACAGTAATACACGTGTATACAACATACACATGCATAAGTACACACACACAATACACATGCATACGGTATACACATACAGTACACACACGCACACAATAGACACCATGCACATGCACAGGACACACATGTACACAGTACACACATGTATAAGTACACATGCAAACACCACACACATGCACACAGTATACACATACATACTAAACACAATGCACATAAACTACACACATGTACACGAAAACACAAACATGCAACAGCACACATGCATGTGAAAAACACATGCAGTACAAATGCACACACTACACACATGCACACACCACACACACACAGCACATGCTACACACATGTATGCAAAAAGTACACAGGCACACACTACACGTGTACATGAAAAGTACACACACACGTGCAAACAGTACACACACTGCACACACACACACTACACACATGTACGGTCAAAGTACACACATGTACACACCACAGGATACACATGCATGCAGTACACATGTGCACACAGTACACACATGCAGTAACACATGCACACAGTGCGCACAATGCACTTGCACACAGTACCACACATGCACACACTACACACATGTACATGCAAAGTACATACACATACACACAGCACACACACAGTACACAATGCACATTCACACACTGCGCATGTATGTGCATACAGCACACACACATGCACGGTAACATATACACACGCACACACTACACACAATACACTTGAACGCAGTACAGAGATACACATGCACAGTACACATGTACATGCAAATTACACACATACATATGCACACAGTACACACATGCACAGTACACAGAACATGCATTCACACAGTATACACACATGCATGCACACAATACATGCATACACAGTAACACACATGCACACAGTACACACAATGCACTTGCACACAGCATACAGATATATAGGCACACAATACACACGCACATGCAAAGTACACACACATGCACACAGCCAACACAGTACACAGAGTGCACATACATACTCTACACATATGTATGTGTACAGAGTATACACATGCCCAGTAACACGTGCACACAGCACACACAATGCATTTGCACACAGTAACACATACACAGTACACACACATGTATGCAGTACACACATGTACATGCCCAGTACACACACATGCACACAGTACACACAACACACGTGCATACGGCCCATTTGCACACACTATACACAAGGCAGTGCACACACCTGTGCACATATGCACACACATGTGCATGCACACGAACACCCACCCACCCAGGTAGGCCCCTCAGCACCACCGTGACAGGGAGGGACCCAGCAGCGGTTCACAGCCAGGGTCTAATTCCTGGAAGATTCTGTCACATGGCAACCAGACCCGACCACCTGAACTCAGTGCGGTCATGGAGCGTGTGGCGCGCCAGCTGTTGAAACTGGGATGGGTGGCCGTGAAGCCGGGCTCTGGGCCTGCTCTAGTGCCAGCTGTTCACTGGGGGTTTGCTGAATGAATGAAGAGCTGAGGGACGGACCCTGTGAGAGAACCCCAGGAAGACAACAGCAAGGTCCCCAGCAGGATCAGTGAAATGACCCCACGTCACCCAGGAAAGATGCCACACCCTGGGCTCTGTAGGGTGTGTGTGTGGGCCTCAGACCTTGGCCGGCCCCAGGAGCCGCACTGAGAGGCAGCCCAGATGGGGCAACGAGGCTCGCAGGCCAGCCCAGCTGCAGGGCAGCAGGACCCCTGGGCATGAGGCTCAGCTGGACGCACGAGGGAGGGGCAGGTGCTGGGACCCCAGGTCTGCAAGTTGTGGTTCTGAAGTGGCCGTGCCCATCACAAAAAGCTCCAGCCCCCTAGCTGCTGAGAGGTGTGGAGGAGGTTCGCCTGTGGGGCTGGTGGGGAGGCTGTTGTGTGCAGGCACGGTTGAGGTGTAGGAGCTGGGCTGGGGCGGTGTGGGCAGTCCTGTGACACTGCCCAGGGGTCTGGGAGGATGCTCTGGGGACAGCCTCACAGGGAGAGCCTGGTGGGAGGGGCGGCCGCTCCTTGGAGGCGCCAGGCGGGGGGTGGGGGCTGCCTGGGGACAAGGCCCTCGCTTCCTGTGGAGGCTGGTGACAAACACGGCCTGCAGCTCCTGCCTGTGGGAGGCTCTCTTCTCCGGCTCAGCGCCTGGCCTGCCTGAGGGGTGATCAGCTGGGGCGACAGCCAGTGGATGGATGGGGGCCGCTGAGGCAGCAGGGAGGTGGCTGGCGGCTCCCGGGGCACCCACAGGGCAGGGAGGTGGTCCAGGGCTGAGAGTTATAAAGAAGCCACTCGGACGGGACAGCCTTGAGTAAGAGGTTTACTGGGGTGGCCCGGGGCGCCTGGCAGGGGAGGTAACGTGCTGTGCTGCAGGCTCCGGGTTGGGTGCTGCACGGGGCAGCTCCCCGTGACCTTGGTCAGGGCTGCTCACCGCGCTGGTGGAAACCAGTTCTCGCCTCCCTCTGTTGCCGGGGTCTACGGGCGAAACGAAGGCAGAAAACGTGCGAGCCTGTGGCCTGTGCTGCCCAGTGACCTGGCTGTGGTAGCCGGGCTGTTGCTTGGAGACTCGGCGGGGGGCGGGGGCAGCCATGGGACCTCCTGCAGCGGCGCCAGGCAGCCCCACGTGTGGCCCGCGCTCAGGCTCACCCTCAGGGGCACCTGTGGGGGCAGCCAGGGTTGAGTCTGGGTCTAGGCCAGCCCTGCCATCGGGCTCATGAGACCTGGCCCCACGGAGTGACGTACACACAGTGACATGGCAACACAGTCACAGTCCAGCTGCCACATACCAGCCACATGGGTGGGTGCACATGTGCACACACACACATGCACACACATGCGCAAACACCCATGTACAAACCACCCATGCATGTGTGCACACACACACACGGACACATAAGCACACATGGGCACACACATGCATAGGCATGCAGTGTCCACCCCATGCACAGTGCACACACGTATGCAGTCTACATACATGCACGCACACACACATGCACAGACATGCGGGCACATGTGTACACACATGCTCAGCCTTGCTCAATAGCAGGCAGATATCTACCCCCCCAGCCATGATCCTCAACCTTGGCTGGCAGCCCGCCCACCCGCCATGGCTCTATGTTGCAAGGGGCTTGCAGTGCTGGGCCTGGCAAGGTGCCCTTGGTGGGAGGGGTGTGTGTTCAGTGACCTGTGTTGCCACCGTCTCTGAGGGGAGCCAGAAAGAGCTTGGGTGGTGACGCCCAGCAGTGGGTGTGGGGGCCCCAGATGCTCGCCCCTCCCTGCTGCCTCCCTCTCTTGCCCACAGACGGCTGGGGTGGATCTTGGGACTCTGAGAGGCACAGGGAATGGGTGCTGGGACCCGGGTTGGGCACGCCCTGGATGTACTGGTAGGGCAGGAGTTGGTGGCATCAAGTGGAGGTGTGACAGCCCTTCTCTGCCAAGCCTTGAGGGGATGTTTGCCTGTAGGCCCTCTAAGCAGGGAGCCTTGGAGAAGGGGTGTTAGCCAGAGGCCAGGTGCCAAGGGTGGAGGGTCGTAGCTAGTGGAAGAAGCTGAGACCACCCAAGCCTTCCTTCCAGGGGTCCCACTGGGCTCCCTCAGTGGGGAGAGAGTGGGGTGGAGGAGGGGTTGGAACAGGGCAGCAGTCTTGGGGTGCAGGCGTGGTGCAGGACTGGGGCCGCACCCTCCTTCCATGGTCCCTCCTGCCCCAACCCCGGGAGCTTTGGTGGTGCCGCCTGAGCTGGGTGGGTTCCAGGGGCTCCGGACCCCCCTCACCTGCAGGCGCAGCTCCAGGGCCCGGATGTGCTGGAGGGACTCCATAGTGGCCCTCAGGAGGGCTGAAGCGGAGGGAAGCAGAGAGGCCGCTCAGCACAGGGCGGGCGCAGCCGGTGGGGGCTCACACTCTGCCCAAGGCCCCCTGGCTGCGGAGGTCTCCCACCCCTCAGGCCCGGCTCTGCTCAGGACTCCCTAGTTGCTCCCCAGTGTCCCACAGCCACCCCAGCTGGGTGGTCTGGTGGCTGCAGCTCCACAGGGAGCCCCGAGCCCATCCCGTGGCTGGCTCCAGCTCCCAGTGGCCACGTCCACCACCTTGGTCTGTGAGGAGGCTCGCCCACCTGCCCGCATCTGCGCTCTTGGGGCCAGGCCGTGCTGGGGGTCTTCAGCCCCACTGCAGCCGCCTCAGCTCACCCCTCCAGGGCTGACTCAGTCAGGGGTTCCACGAACGCGCCCACTTGCCGGGCCACCATATGGGGTTGGGGCTAAGTGGGGGATGAGGTTGCACCGGCCTCCCACTGACTGCTGTGAAGTTTGACGGAAGGTCAGCCCTGTCAGGGCAGCTTTAAGGGGCTGGCAGTTGGCCCCGTGCAGGGGCCCCAGTCATCTCGGGGCAGCTGAGCTCTGGGCCCCAGGCGGGGTAAATGCCAGGGCAGCGCAGGCCCAGGACTTCAGCGTGAACTCCTGGCCCCTTCTGATAACACTTCGTTCCACTCTTATTATGTGACACTTTAGACTGTGACCGAAACGCCCAGGCACCAGCTGGCCAGGGCTGTCTGGTTCCTTCCCACACTTCCTGGTCCCTGGCAGGGCCGCCCTGCCAGGCAGGACCTGGGCAGCTGCAGGGTGTGCTCTGAGGCCGTTCCTGCAGAAGGTGCAGGAGGCTGGGATGGTCTGAGGGAAGCCAGCCCCTCGTGCCCCCTGGGTGTGCAGTAAAGTCATCTGTCCCTCCCTGTGCTCACTGCAAGGGTGACCCCACGTGACCACTATCACCCACATGGCCAGGGGTCCCTGGCTGTCATTGCTGCAGAGGCTTTGGCCTGGGTGTCGCCCCGGCTGCCCTGCAGGGTGTGCCCTGACCCCAGCCCTGTCCATTTCCCCGCCCCTAGTTCTCCTGGGCCTGCAGTCTTGGGCAGCATGGCACTGGCCTGGACTGCTCCCGGAGGGCAGCACCAGGTGGTCCCAGCCTTGTGAAGCCACCAGGCCGGCAGGCAGAGGCGTGGAGGGACAGGTGCTGCCCCTCACTGCCGGGTGGGCAGGTTGCCCAGGGAACCAAGGGGCGTCCCTCTTGTTAAGAGGCCTTTCTAGGGGTTGGGGAAGTGACAGAACACATGTCCTGCTGTCCAGTGGTCCCAGGATGTGTCCAGTTCACTGAGTCCAAATGTGCAGCTGTGTGTTATTTCCTAGGGGCCCGAGTGGGAGGGCACCCAGGCTCCCTGAGCCTCACAGGGTGGCTGGCCCAGGGGAGGGCGGCCGTGACCTGTCTCCGTACCCACCAGGCACTCTCCTCCCAGCCTGATCTCCCAGCCCTCGCTGCCCCACACACCCTGCTGGACACTGGCCTGCTCACACCCTCCATGAGCTCAGGGCAGATGCACGCAGGACGGCACTGGGCCACAGACAGGTGGACAGATGGACGAAGCTCCTGTCACCAGTCCTGAGACAAAGTGCCCCGGGCTGGGCTGCTCTAGGCTCACCTGCAAACTCGGGGACCTGCGGGACTTCCACCTCAAACAGGAGCTCGTCGTGAATTTGGGCAACCAGCCTGAAAGACACACAAAAGGGGGAGGTGACCCAGGGGCCCCACGAGTGGACATCAGCTGTGGGCTGCTGGGGGCACATGTGGGCTGGCGATCCCTCCACAGGGGGCCTGGAGGATTGCACCTCATCTCTGCTCGGTGGGTGGGGGCAGGACCAAACCTGGCAGGCACGACTGCCTGGGCCACCACACTGTCACCCGGGTAGGGAGCTGGGGGAGCAGGCTGGAAGAGAGAGGAGAACACAGGGTTCCGGGCAAAGGAAGAAGGCCCGAGAGAGGGTCAGGGTGGTGAGAAAGGGTGGGGCCCTGGGCTCTGCAGGCTGAGGGCAGTGTGCCCATGGAGTCTGACAGGGTGCCGGAGGCTTCGTTTCAGCTGTTGGGGGCTGCAGCTGGTGGAGCGGACAGGAAGGGAGAGGGTCTTCATGGAGCACCCGGCAAGGCTCTGTTGGGGAGGGTGGAGGCAGAGGACCCCCACTCTTTGAATACCAGCTGAGGGGGGGCCGCTGGGAGCTGGGAGGGACAGATGCTTTTTTTTTTAACATGCACTTTTGTAAGTCAAAGAAATAAATACTCATTTAATACATTTGGAAAGTACATAAAAATTCTGAAGTACAAAAAAAAAGCCCTTAACCCCCCGTGCCCAGCCCCCAGTGGACATGTGGGGCGGCCCTGGGCAGGTCCTGCTTCTCCGAGTGTGTCTATCCCCTTCCGGCTCTCCCACTCCCACCTGCTTCCTGCCCAACCCTGGGTTGAGGCTGCAGGCTCTGCCTGGCAGTCACTGGGCTATCTGGACGGGTGTCCCCTGCTTGCCCTCCAGAGCCACCCCTCCTGCCTTCCCACTGGGGTCTGTGGCCAGGTCTGCTCCCCGTCCTCTGGGTCTGGCTTCATGAGGCAGCAGGAGACAGGCAGGGTGGGGGCCCCCTGCTCCCTTGGGCTGGGCCACGGTGTGTGGCCACCACTCTGAGGCTAATGCGTCCTGGCACTTGAGGCCTGGACACCCCGGGGGGCTCCATCGTTATGAGCAGCCCCTTCCTGCCGACCTGGATCCTGACTGTCTGGCTTCAGGGACAGGAAAGTGGAGGCATGTGCCCTGTGGTGGATGCTGGGTGAGGAGATGTGGGTGATAATGCCTTGTCTCATGGTGACGGGTCTCCCAGCAGGTGGGCCGTCTGCGTACTGGGCAGGGATGAGACCAACCTGACAGCTCTGTGTTGGCCCACACGCCATTTGCAGGCTGAGGTCTTGGGAGGTGGGGTCCTGGTCAGTTTCTGAGCCAGGGTGGTGATGGTACAGCATCCTCCTTGGTGGCAGAGGCCCCGCTGCAGGGATGGCTTCTCCAGGCCCAGCAGCCCTGCTGAGGGGTGTGTGAAGGTGGCTTTGTCTGTACACTTGAGGGGACGTGTGGTTGGGGTGCAGTGCATTGCTTGGTCTGGCTCTTCTAGCCTTGGTCTTTGGGACTCCCACCAGACGACTGGGTGTGACTATGCAAATG